ATAAAATGCATCATTTATAACTTAATTAGCATATAAAATTGCACTTTTTAGCATATTAATGGAATTTTAAAATATTAATGCCCTGGCTTTCTATGGTAAAATTCCAAATATACCAGGCAGGTGTGAGAGAGCTGCAAACTAAATGACCTTAGTATAAATATCTTATTGTTTGCCATAATTTGAGAGGTTAAAACCCCCCACTTAAATTAGAAAACAAATTCTGGAGAGAGAGAAAAGTATAATTTGGATAGAACAATCTCATATAGTCACAACAGGTAGGACTACCAGAATATTTGTATATCACATTATACTTTATAGCATCAAAACACGGGACTCTTATCTAATACTTTATGATCAAACATATTATAGCATATTAATTGACAAAATTATTCACATTTAAATACACATATCCTTGAAAATATATTGTATATGTCTACAGTATACATTGGAATTAACATCATCTAATGCTGAAGATTGCTTTACATAAACACGTTCATGCTACATATATATTGAGTGTGTCGAACTTTGACTTAAAAAGCATTTCACTCATTCTAAGTGAGACAAAATTTCACAGGAGTTTTTTTCAGTGCTCCCCCAAATTTGCTAATTTTTCCATTGGAAAAACTGAAAAAAAGTCCTTGGGGGAGGTTTTCCTGACACCGCCCCCCCGACTTTCACATAATTACAGCCACTGTAAATAAATGAAATACTGGTATAATAACAATTGATTGGCACAGTAATGAGATAATACGGAGAACAAGAAAAACTGTGAAAAAGTGACGCTTAATATATGTCTTTAAAGAATCATAGAAAAGTGAACAAAAATAATATACATAATCATAGAAAAATATATTGACGGTGATCTCCGGAATGTCTTGCTGTTTCGAAGGAAGATCTTCTTCTGAACAAAGATGTGGGACAAAAACTGTCTCTCAATAGTTCATATCCTCTGCGGTTCTACTATACATTACAGCTGTTATGATTATTGAAAATCTTCTTTGATAATTGTGAGACATCACCAGAGGATATGAACTATTGAGAGACAGTTTTTGTCCCACATCTTTGTTCAGAAGAAGACCTTCCTTCGAAACGGCAAGACATTCCGGAGATCACCGTCAATATATTTTTCTATGATTATGTATATTAATTTGTTCACTTTTCTATGATTCTTTAAAGACATATATTAAGCGTCACTTTTTCACAGTTTTTCTTGTTCTCCGTAATAAATGAAATACTACCTGGTCACAAAACGGGGGGGGAGGGGCCTTAGAATCACCAGATCCAACTGAACAGCAGCAGCAACCCCTCAGAATACTTGTCCTTAAATGTTCTTTCAAGAAAAGCAGTTTTAACTGGGTGCCAAAATCAAGAGAGTGAGCCAAGACAATTTCTCTAGACAGACTCTCCATACCCTAGGCATCACCACGAAGAAGGCCCTGCCCTTTTAAACACCTTCCAGACCAAAAGTCAGGGATGCCTGAGTTGCAGATGATGACTTCAGGCTCATATGGGAGAAGACAGGTTTATCAGATAGCCCTGAGGGGTGGGGTCTCCTGGGGGCTCCATGGCTTGAAAAGCACTAACAGTGGCTAGGAACTGTCTTTTAATTTAACTAGGTATTAAAAAGGGATAGCAGAACCACTCATGATGCCCTGAGCTCTTTGGAGGAAGGGTAGAATCAAGATGTAATAGACAGACAGAAATGGGGATGACTGCCTGAGGGTCAACTGGCGGTCAGAGAGCTGGTGTAGTGGAGTTCTAGGTTCAGATTCCAATGAACTCTACTGAGTGACCTTGGGCCACTCACTTTCTCTCAGCCTAACATCTCCTAAATTTGTCATGAGGATAAAGTGGAAGAAGACAGAAACCTGTATGTCAACCTCAGCTCTGTGGAGAAAGGGCAGGATGAAAACGTGACAGAGTCTAGTCCTTGGGCAACCTGCAGATGCCGATGACCTCAACCTACCAGACCCTCTGGAGCATTCCCAAACCGCCTCTGCCATTTTATCACTAACACAAACATGTGTAAAAATACAGCCGCTGATGGTGGCTTCACAGTGTTATGTCAAAAACCTTCTGGGAGCCCATATCTGGGTCAGATTTTTATTTTTCTGAAAAGACCCTCACACAAAGTTTGCCCTCAGATCTCTCAGCTATAGAAACAGCCCAACAGCTTTCTGAAAGATTGATTTTACTCTTACTTTTTTGGCGATCGCTTTAACGGCTCCACCGAGGCTAATAATTTTGACGTAGCTCACAAGTTTACAATGGGGTTTGAGCCGGAATTAATATGAAGCACTTAGTTTGCACTGCCAAGCACATTTTTGTACATCAACATTTAATATTAAAGAAGCTGTAAATCTATCCATCTGGGTTTGTTGGATCAAAGTGAATTTTCCTCCCTTTTGGACCCCTCCCCGATATATTAAATTTGAGTCACATTCGCACTTTATGCAAATTTTCCACTTGATAGAGTAATAATTCAAGAAGTGGGAAAGGGGAAAAGTTCAAATGTTCACCGTTTCAGCCCTGAAGACTGAAGTTTCCTGTAATGTGGACAAAACAAATACATCTCGGCAAAGGGGATCCTGAGACTTGGTTTTGTTGACTGCACAAAAGCCAACTCGTTACAGCTGACTGGTTCATGATTTTTATGCTGCCAGTGGAACAAATCCATGTGCTTTTATGGATAGGCTTACGGAAAATCTGGACCCCGGGGGGGGGGGGAGATATAGTAAATGCGTGAGAATACACAATCCAACATCATCTGTAATTCCTGGTTTTGTGAAAAAGCAGATGGCAAGGAATCTTAATAACTTGTAACGGACAATGATTAAAGACGAAAAAGTAAATAAAAAACGTGACAGCAAATGAATAACAAAACACATAGGTAAGGCCAGACAAACAGCCTTAAATGTGGTCTGCATAAGTGTTGTATACCAAAGACAATCCTTCCACAGGGAACTTTATGGAATGAGATAATATGAGCATAGGGAAGTAGTGGGATTAGAGTCAGGCCTTTAGTTTCACCCAAACTTCTACATGATATGTACAACTATTGTGCAAACAGGGCTTTGTCCCAATTTTTGGGGACCCTGCTTCTAGGATCCATTCAGACATGCATAAGTCCCCCATACATTCATTTAACTAATCTCAATAGATCATCTGAATAGGGCTCATATGGTTGGAACAAGCCAGGTGGCTTTTGACGGTTTACTTAGCCTCGAAAGAAACTATTGAAAACTCAAGAGGCCACTGGTGAGGTTGGTGGAATATGGCCAGTCAACTTAAACTCTGGCACATGAAAAGTATGATATTCGAAGGTAAAAACTTGGATTCCCCTCCCCATAAGTCTTTATCATAACAATACGCTCCCACAAATTTGACTCTGCCCACTCCTTCGATTCACTATAACTTTCTTTGCAAAAAATAAAATAAAACAAAATCCAAATAGCTCCTATTTCTCACCCTCTTTCCTCCCTCATGCACAGGATTTTCCCTTTCCTTCTTCTTTCTTGCTGAACAGCCCCTATATCTATTTTCTTCTTTTAATTGCAAAGTATTGGAAAGATACTAAGGTGCCAAATATAATTCAGTGGAGGTATAAAGTATGGGATCTATTCATGTTGGACAATTTCTCAATTTATCATTCCAATAACCAAAATGAGAGTGATTTTTCCAATCCTCTAAATATCTGGTACCCTATTTTAGATAAAATAGACACTGACGTCTTTGATTGGGAAACTACATCTAAAGCCAAGTACAAGCTACTAGTATTTGGTTAGTTTAGATTTCCTAAGCGAGACTTTCTTTTTATAGCTTCTTTTTATGATATTACTCATCGAGTAATCATTGACAGAGAGCCGCGGTTTTGTATTGTAGTTTTTTATATTAAAATTTTATATATTCTTCTTATTTGTTTGTCCCACGCAACCACTTTAATATATATATTTTGATGCTGGCCCAGCCCAAGGAACTGAGGGATGAGACAAAATCACCTTCTTATATTCAACTTCTGAAATGGCACATGAGAGGCTTTTGAAAATTCAAAATAAACAAAATGTTTTATTTAACTTAGAGGATAAAAGGTAAGGTGGAATCAGCGGTAGGATTATGAGGTGACCAGATAATAAAATTGAGGTAACTTTGTAATTACATTAACTCCAGGTAATTTGTTGCCAACAAGTAAATGTTTCTGCTATTCAAAAAGGTCTTTTAAAACTTTGAGGAGAGAGGCTTTCTTTTCAGTTTCTGCTTAAACACTTAAGCATAGGTTTCTGAGTTTCACTGACTCGTAAAGTCTAGAAGGCAGGAACATACAAGCAAATTTCCCAAATCCTTCTATATACACAAACCAGGGATCACTCCTCTTTTAAGAGCTATCTCCCTTTTCACTGGTCAGGAATTACTTCTCTTAACTAAAAGCAATTTCCCTTTTTTTGCTTGAATGGGGATGCTCTCTGATCCTCTCACTCCTTTCGCCTCCTTCCCAGTCCACAGTCAGTGCTTAACTGTCTCTTCTTCAACTGTCAGTTCCCAACTGCCATTTCTTAACTAACTCTTTTCACAGAATTCTGTTCAAACAGCTTATCCCTCAAAGGTTCTTAGATTCTGTTAGGCATTAACCCTTACTGGCCCACCACACCCACCCACCCAAACGCAGCAGTCAAAATATGTTACCAACTGTAAGCAATTGTCCATGAAACTCATTACACAAGTAAGTCAGGGAAACCCCCACAATTCCTTCCCTTTGGGGGTGGACAGTGCCACCAAGTCACAGCTGACTTATGGTGATCCTGTGGGGTTTTCAAGGCAAGAGATGTTCAGGGGTGGTTTACCATTGCCTGCCTCTGCATTATGACCCTGGTATTTCTTGGAGGTCTCCCATCCATTTACTAGCCAGGGCCAACCCTGCTTAGCTAGCCGGGTCAGGGTTCCTTCCCTTCAGCTATCAGCTAAAAACCATTTTGTGTCAGACAGGATTTTTGCATGCTGCTCACCGGGGCAAAGGTGTTTAGCTCTCTTCTACCAAATGGATTCTTTAGGAAGTGCTCTTCCCTTGTTGAATCCACGCTGGTTGCTTTAATGCTGCCCTTTTCGAATAGCGTATGGATTTTCATTTCACATCAGCCACTTCATGACGCCAACGAGCAAAAAAAAAAAAAAAAAAGACAGTAGGGGGACAGAAACAGTTCAAATAGATAACTAAATTCCTTCACAGGCAAAACCAGAATGCAATCAATTAAAAGGCACGATTTATTCAGATAGAAATATGAGCAAAAAGTCATGCACAGGGTAGCTCTTCAATCGCGCTTGGCCTAAAGACTTGAAAGCAATTGTAGATCAGTGGTAATTATTTGATATCTCTAAGCAGATGAAATACTCCCCATCGAAAGTGCATGTATTGCTAAGTAAGAAGCAGACGTAAGCACACCGGTCTGATCTCCTTCCCATCATAACCCTCTCCAGATGGCTGCTGACCAACACATCACAGAAGTTCACCCTTGCTGTGCATCTCTGTCCTTTTCAACTGAACTTGCAAAACAGGGCTGACAGATTGCACGCAGTGCTCAGTTCAGAGCAAGAAATGCCAAGCTCAGTCACACTCCTCACTAATACCACTAAAATAAATGCACGAGGTTAGCAAGAAATACACTATTAAACCCTGAAAACTGTAAGATGCTGTAAACTGTAAGGATATCTGGTGTTTTGCATTTACTAGTCACTGAAATCAAATATCGGAAGGTGCTTTGCACAAAGATTGCAACGACCAAATGACAGCAGAACAAGCCGCCCACGGGCACACCAAAGGTGCCATTTCATCGCTATCTCTAACAATGTGCCTAAGGTCATCACTTCTCCAAAATGAAATTGATTTGAAAAGCACTGAATGCTTTGTCTGCTGTCAATGCAGGCTTCCTACAGGTCAAAGATAGCAAGACTGCAATGCTATGCTCCCTTACCTGGGAACAAACCTCAAAGAACACTGTGGGATTTATTTCTAAATTAACAGTCACAGAGCTGGGCTGTATAACCCCTGCAAAAACGTATCTGTCAAAACGTTGCTTTCCTCCAACCCACTGATTTTTACCCATTAGCGCAAAGTTCTGGGGATCAACAGACCTAATGCAAAGCCTACGTAGTGAAATTAAGACCACAGTCTAATGAAAATCCTGAATAAGCTCCACAATGTAGCTCTTAAGTCATGATGTTGGTCCCTTCCACATCCAAACATCCACAGCTCACTTCTTGCAAGAGATCCAAAGGCACATGAGGCTATTCCATGGCAAATCATTGTTCTACAAAGCGCTTCCCATTTCTGGCAGCAAGCCATGCCTGTGAGGTGTAAGATGTACCCCCAAATGAGCTTAAACACCAACAAATTGATTGACCTGAAAAGGAAAGGCTTCAAGACCCAGGCAATTTAGAATTAAAACAATCTGCAACTCCAAGAAGCCCGTAACTATATCTTGTCTCTACTCGCAAACTTTAAAATAACCATTCAGCAACAAGTAGCAAATCACCTCCAGGCAACAAGGCAGAGAATCTTTTAGAAAATAATAGTATTTTTTTTAGAGTTCCTTGTTTCTCTTCCCCCCACCACATTTTTAGGCCACAATTAAAATAGTGTATGAAAACTGTCATGGCTACTTAAAAAAACACACTGTTGTCCAGTAACTTGTATGGATTTATTTGTAAGGCTTTCAGATAGCTAGATAGCTAGTTTTATTGTGTATTAGCCATAATGTATAAAGCTGTACAAGTTCTACACTGTAAATTAAAAATCAACAACAATGCAAAAACAAAGTCATGATTAACAAAACTTCAACAGAAAAGGAATGAATACGGCACATGTCCAACGTACCGCAGATCTCCCAAATCCCAAATGTTTTGGTGGCTTTTGACCATTACTAGCAAGAAACAAACCACCTTATCTGAATGTGACCAATGAAAAAAGAAAAAAGAACTGTGACAATTTAGCGCTTGGTACTTTCTAGATACCATCGTTTACATTAGAGGAGAACAATTGGCAGTACATCCGTACAAAAAGTCAATAGATAAGAATTCTTATTTACATTACAAGTCTTCACATGCAGCTCACATTCATAATAATATTCCATATGGACAATTTTTAAGATTGAAAAGAAATTCTACTGTAGAAAATGATTACTGCATAGCAGCAAATGGATTGGAAAGAGATTTTTTACAAAGAGGCTATCCCGCGCAGGTTGTAGCTGCAGGGCGCTGCAGAGCTGACAAGAGGGCAAGAGCAGATTTATATAAAGAGACAGTCACCGGATCCAGGGAAGGTTTCCTATGGGCATTAGATTACACCCCTATGGCATACTCCATCAGGAGGATTGTTTTAAAACATTGGCACATTGTGGGAGACATACCAGGATGCCAAGTAACACCTAACATAGGCTTTCGAAAAACTGCAAGCATTAGAGATCTTTTGATACATGCAGATTTACGATCCAATATACCATCAGCGAACACACCCAGAGGTCACTATAAGTGTTTGCGATGTGCAGCATGTCCGTTGAGTGTGGAAACGAAATTTGTCTACTTTCCAGAAATTAACTATAGGAGAGAATTGAACAGTTACTCCATGTTCCACGAAGCGGGTCATTTATGTAATCACCTGCCCCTGTGGGCTAAAATATATTGGAGAATCGACACGGGCAATTAAGACCCGAATTTTGGAACATAAGTCCAAAATTAAACACAAGCATACAGAAGCCCCCCTCGTGGACCATTTTATTTCAATGGGTCATAGATATGACGATTTTAAATTTGTAGTTATAGAAGTGATCCAGACCAGCAATTACTGTAGAAGAGATATTCGACAAACACTCTTGTGGCGAGAAGCCTTTTGGATTTTTAAATTAAACACTGTTTATCCATTTGGTTTGAATGCATCCCTGGATTTGACATGTTACTTATGAACACTTATAAATGGTTAGTGTATTTTATTTTACCTATATGTATGGATAATTGCCATAGGAGTTGGTGATTTGTGTACTTGTGTATGAGTAGTAACAGGATCAGTGTGAAAAAACAGACCAGCAGGATATAATGCCTACATAGAATCCACCTGCTAAGGCATTCAGCAATTATAGCCCATTGACGTACATAGCTGTAAGCATAGCTTTATGATGAAGTGATGAGTGTTTTTACAATTATTTAAAATATTTACATTTATGTATGTGGAGCGATGTAATTGTTATTAAATAACAATGAAAATGTATTGTAACAGCTATTGTTGTACTTTTTAGAATCAACAGTATATTTTCAATACGTCACCAAGAGAAATGAATTGTTGAAAGACAGTTTATGTAAGGTTTCATACTATTTTTATTCTTATTCATATTATATATTTGCACACTGTTATATATAATTTTAAATGAGACTTGTATTGTTGTATTTGATAAGGTACACATCCTTGTTCAGAAGAAGATCATTGTCGAAACGGCACACCATTCCGGAGACCACCGTCTACATTCACTATATATATTACTTATTTTCTGTTATTGTATATTATGATTTATGAATATAGTACCAAGCGCTAAATTGTCACAGTTCTTTTTTCTTTTTTCATTGGTCTTATTACTGTGCCCATTCTTGTAACTTATCTGAATGTGATCATCTTCCAGAAACTGATAGCTCAACTTTCAACAAACTTCCTCATTTTATAAAATATTTCCCACACAAGCCAATTCTGGAGCAAAAAGAGTATTTCTATGTCATCCATCAAAATAAGGCTCTTAAGACAGTGGATGGTTAGAATATTTCACAGCAATTTGTGTATTTTCCTAAAAAAAAAAAAATCAGTACATTCTGCTTTGCCTTCTTCCCTTCCATTTCCCCTTCCAGAGAGAGCCAATTTGGTATTGCGGTTAAGAGCGGTGGACTCTAATCTGGAAAATTGGGTTCGATTCCCCACTTCTCCACGTGAAGCCAGCTCGGTGACCTTGGTCAGTCATAGTTCTCTCAGCCCCCAAAAATAAAAACCTAGTTCACCACAAAAAAAGCTAGTGTTTCAGGCTGCCAGACAATTTTCGGATCTCCTGGCTATACTACACCCACTGCCATATGGCAATTAATTATTATTTCCCCTTCCAGACGGTAACATTACAACCCTTAGTGCCTCCTTTCTGTCTCCACTTTTAAAAAAAACACCTTGATCGGAAGGCCCTCCATCTTCATGTCCTAATGTTAAGGGGCTGTCAACATGGAAGAACAAGGTCTTCATAGCTGTAATCTCAAGAAAGAAGTTCACACAAGTACACCCCTCCTGGCCTTAGAAAGGGGTGCAAAGCACATTTCTTTAAAAGGGCATTCAGTCAGCAAATACTGGTTGTGCATTTGGCTGGGTAAAAATATCTGAACACATCACCGTAGGATTTGTTTAAAACGCTTTCTGTTTTGCCTCTCCACTGGCTCAAGGCAGATTACAAGAATTCCCAATATAAAAAATACAACAGCCTATAAAAACACAACCATACAATCAGAACCAACAGAAATGAATTGGAAGTATGATGAATGAGCAGGGTTCACTAGCTTAAGAAGCTCTGGTTTGATTAGCTGGGCTGGATTTCCGGGGTGGGGTGGGGTGGTCTAATCTCTCAAATTTGTCCCTTTCAGCAAGGAGGCAACCTGTTTCAGAAACTAATGACGAACCTTCTTCGAAGAGCATCTGGAATGGTCACTGTGGGAAACAGATGCAGGACTAGGAAGACTTTGGCCTCTCCTAACATTAGGTATTTTTTAATTTTATGTTGTATAACTCTGTCGCAATGCTTTGCTCTAGTAACAGCAAACGTTCCCAAGGCCCAACATGCCAGTGCCAGTACCCAAATGAGACAGTACTGCTGTTCCTGGAACACAGCTAAAAGAGCTTGCTTTTCCAGTAATATGTATTGCTTTCTTTTACAGATTCCTCAGCCTGACCAAGACGCCGCTTGATCGTAGCCCCAAAGTTGTTCACCAACCTCTTCTTCCATTGGCAGTATTCAGATGTGCCAGTGCAAGTTCAGCCAGCCTCCTCAATTCCTCTGCCAATTTACATGAAGTTTCCACCTTTCCGCCTTCATCTTATGCTCTCCTGAGACCTGGCCAAACTGTATTGGTGGGTACCCCCAAACTGCATGCCTGAGGCCTGTACCAAACATTCATAATTCTCCTTCTTATTCCAGGACAGATTGTTCAACATGATAAGGGCTGGCACATCAAGCTTCAGTGCCAGGAACCTTCCTTTCTCAGCTTCATTACATATATATTAAACTGGGTTAGGTCTCCCAAGGAATGTTCCCATCAAATTAAGTAGCCTCCAATTTTGGTTTGATATGGGTAGGTAGACCTTCTTCCAGGCTCTGCAGAGGGAGATGGAAAGGCCTTGAACATGCCTTGGTTTTATCTTCTGTTTCGGCAAAGATCACTGTGCCGCAGCCTTCTGAAAGAAGGCTAAAAAGTGTTTTTCTCCTGGAGTTCTCAGGATTCAGTAAGCAGAAGGTGGAAAGAAGGAAGACCAGTCGGTACCCAACTAAACACATTTAGTACTATACAACGGTTTAGTATGGTCTGAGATCAGAAATCAGACTCGTCGAACGACACAGACCTTACTAGGTGTCAGACACATTTAGCAGAGAAATTTTCCATCACAATCGCCAGAAAAATCTTCGAGAGCATGCTGACAAGCCTTATGCCTCGTGTGTGAGATTGCTGTACCACCTCTGTGGAATCAAGAGGCATTCTGATTCCAGGCTCGTTGGTGAGTGAAGCCGTCAAGAAGCAAATAGGGGGAAATGTCGGTGTTTCTTGGTGGAGTTGAAACCTATCCAGAAGAAATAAAAAGCTTGCGTTCTTAGAGTTTGGCAGAAGAGTCCACCTCATAGGGCTCTGTGCAGCTGTACCTCAAACAATGGCTTCCCACCAAGTCTGATTCTGCAGGCCAGGGGATAACAACCTCCACCAGGGATGCTGTAAGGTAAAGGTTTCCCTTGCTTGAAAGCCAGTCGAATCCGACTCTAGGGGTGCGGTGCTCATCTCCATTTCCAAGCCAAAGAGACAGCGCTGTCCGAAGATGATTCCATGGTCATGTGGCCGGTGTGACTAGACGCCAAGGCGCATGGAACGCTGTGTTGCATCAGAAATCCAAGAATTTGGCCGGGGAAGCCAAAGACTCTCAGTGGGCAGTCTTCACCTCTCACAAGGATGTCTCTGATGATGGGGCCTACCATACTGAGATGCAGTTTGAAGTAAGGCTATGCATCTAACCTTCAAGGATGAGCCTGCTGAGAACAACTATTTGGTGCATTTCTTACTTGTATCTGATGAAGGGAGTTTTGGCTCTCAAAAGCTTATACCCAGGAAATCTTGTTGGTGCTGCTGGACTCGACCCTTGCTCTGCTATTGCAGACCAACACCATTACCCATCTGAAACTAACTGTGCTCTACAATTCCATGCAGCCTCCCCTTCAGAAATAGGAAAAGCCAGCTCTTTTCTAAAGAAAGCACCAAACTAACATTCAAGTGATGGAATGTTCATGCTGCAGCTTAAAATGTTTTTAAAAGGTGTCCAGAACTCCAGAAATGCAGTGTGTGTGTGTGTGTGTGTGTAAGGGGTAATGGCAAAGACTGACTACCGTTCTCAATTTACTGAGTACGTCTGTCAAATAAGTTATGAAAGTGATGGGAAGTCAGGCTCAAGCTACGCAAGGAAACAAAAGAGCAGCAAGCAGTGATGTCAAGGCACATCTATACACAGCCCAAGTTTTATCTATGGATGTATTTTTTTAAAAAAAAACCTCTGGCAAGTTGTGCATTGTTCCATGCTTAAGTGTTTATTCAGCTGTGCTCTGCTGAATAGCTTTTCTCAGAGGCAGGGAGCAACACAGACAGTTTACTGAAAAGGGAACTTCAGTTGGCAAGTCTGATTCACAACTATGTCTCATTCGAGTCCAGTAGGACCTCGAAGAGCAACAGGATTTCTTGGGCATAAGGTTTTGAGAGTTAAAGCTCCCTGGCGGTGGGAGCTTTGACTCCCTTGTACTCTGAACATAGAAGAGAAGCCAATGTTGAATCAGGCCAGTGGCCCACCCAGTCCAACACTCTGTCACACAGGAGGTCCACCAGTGGGGCCAGGACACTAGAAGCCCTCCCACTGTTGCCCCCCCCTCCCACAGCACCAAGAACACACAGAGCATCACTTGCCCCAGACTGAGAGTTCCTATCTATACCTTGTGGCTAATAGCCACTGATGGACCTCTGCTCCATGTGTTTATCTAATTCCCCCTTGAAGCCACCCATGCTTGTAGCCGCCACCACCTCCTGTGGCAGTGAATTCCATGTGTTAATCACTCTTTGGGTGAAGAAGTACTTCCTTTTATCTGTTCTAACCTGACTGCTTAGCAACTTCATCCCAACCATCTCTACGGTTCCTATCAGTTACAGCAACATTCGGGTATATGGTTCCTTTCTTGAGATTACTCAGTACCAAAACTAAAATGGCTGGTTCTATCACAACCCCACTGAGTTGTCCAAAAGTACAAACGTAAACACTACTCATATCTCCAATAGCAGAATTACTGCAAAGACAAAGCCAGAAGAACCTCAAGTACCTGCCATTTCCCCCTTCCCCTCTATTAACTAAAAGGCCACTAACACCCTCATTTCCACCCCTGAAAAGACTGCCTTTTCACCTGGTCCTCTCAAGCCCTAGAGAAGCCAGGCTTGCAGCAATGAGGGCCAGGGACTTCTTGGTGGTAGCGCCATACTGGTGGAATGAGATCCCGGAAGACATCAGGGCCCTGCGGGACCTTTTACAATTCCGCAGGGCCTGTAAAACCGAGCTCTTCCCCCAGGCATTTGATTAAGGAGCCACCGCAACCATCTGAGGCCCTGGCCCCAATACCATCAATATCTTAATAACACCAATAATATCATTAACATCACTGAATAGCCTGTGCCTTGCTGACATGACCAAGACCATGCGCTAATTGATTGTGGACATCTGCCATATTGTATGCCATTGCTAGCACTTTATGTATTGTTTTTAGATTTATTTTATTGTAATTTTAACTGAGAAATTGTTTTATCAGTAACAATGTTGTGAGCTGCACTGAGCCTGCTGTGGCAGGGAGGGCAAGATAGAAGCCAAAATAAATAAATACACTTAACCATTACACCAAACTGGCTTCTAACACTGTTTATGTGCTTTAGTAAAGGTTCCCTTGCTCGAAAGCCAGTCGAATCCGACTCTAGGGTTGCGGTGCTCATCTCCGTTTCAAAGCCGAAGAGCCAGCACTGTCCGAAGACGTTTCCGTGGTCATGTGGCCGGCATGACTAAACACCGAGGCGCACGGAACGCTGTTACCTTCCCACCGAAGTGGTACCTATTTATCTACTTGCAATTTCTTGCTTTCGAACTGCTAGGTTGGCAGGAGCTGGAACTAGAGACGGGAGCTCACTCCGTCATGCGGCACCCGGGTCTCGAACTGCTGAACTACCGACCTTCCACAGCCTGCAGTTCAGCGTCTTAACCACTTGAGCCACCGCAGTTTATTGTTTACCAAACAATAAACAGAAATTCAACAGGAAAAACTTCCATGAGAAAAACCTGGCTGAATCAGACCCAAGTTACATTTAATCCAGCATCCTGTTCCCCACAGTAGTCAACCAGAAGGCTCTGGAAGTCCACTAGTAAGGTGTGAAGGAGCAGCCTTTTCCCACTGCTGCCCCTCCAGAAATTGGCTCTTAAGAGGCACACTGTGTACAAGCATGGAGGCTTCATTCAACCATCATGGTTACGAACCAGTGAAATGGTTGCCCTTTTCCTGCACATAATGATCCAATCCCGACCTTAAAGCACATGATTTACACAGGGAGGAGAATAATGTGGGCATTTTACTACACTATTTCAGATTACAGGTGGGAGGATCATAAAGGTTCCGATTCTGGAATGTTCCTCTATGTTAAAACCTCCTGCAAAACAGAGGATGAGCACACCTTTCCCCTGTTGCACTAGTTTTCTAACTGCATGGATCCCCCCCCCTTGACAGAGTAACATTCAAAGTTAGAATCCATCATCTGCAGTCTGAACAGGTGCATGCCGTTCTACCACCTCATCCTCTGGCATGTGCAAACCAAGCCTGAGCTAGTGGCCACGACATCCCCTGGGCAGTGAATTCCATAACTCCTCCCCAACCACCTCCAAATACTGCAGCCCAACGGGAAAAAAGTGAAACTGGCTGGATCTCTTTCTGCAGTGTGGTCAGCTACTCAAGACACAGTGACAGGAGGTACAGGGGGAGGCCAGCAAGCGACCTAAGGAGTGCCTCGTTAAATAGTACAATCCTACTTAGACTGGTGAAGGCGCCACCTGTTGAACTCCTGCCTCTTTTGTGCCTTTGACAGGTCTGTCGCCAGGGGGGAGGGGGTGAAGCAGCAAGCAACCTAAGGGTAGGTGGGAGAACCTCCCTCACCTCCCCCCACCCAGCATAGTCCCTCAGTGCCCTCCGTAAGCGAAACCCCACTCCTTGCCCAGTGCTATTCTCCCACAATCCCGCCTCCCCCAAGTTCCAGCAGGTTATCTCACCGGTACTGCCTCCGAAGGCGAAAGGGGAGGAGTAACACCCCCCCCCCCCTTAGAGTCACTTCTATAGCGAAGAGGAGGAAGGGACGGGGTAATCGATCACCCGGCGATCCACAGGCGGGCGAGCAGAACGCCGAGCTGTACAACGAGGGAGGGAGCGCGCTCTGTCACGTGGCAGCGAAACTGACAGCTCCCGCTTCTCTTTTCCACTCCCCGGCATTCTATCGCGCTTGGAGTGGGTTGAGGCGATGGCGCATGCGCCGATTGCTGGAGAAGGTGCCAAGGGGTGGAGTGTCCTGGCAAGGAGTAGGGATTGTTTGTTGATCGTCTTAGCCGTTTGAGGAGTTCTGAGCGCTTGAAAGAGCTGGGTGCAATAGTCCCTCTAAGCTGTGGAGTCTTGTGAGCAAACATTCTACTTTACGAGCTACTGGCCATTAAAGTTGTGAGCCAGCGATTTGGCTAAGCATAAATTAGTTTCCTCTGGAGTCATCCTTCCTGGGTGAAGGCAAAAATGTGTGAGCCGGAGTCTAAAAAACAGTGAGCTAGCTCACACTAACTCAGCTTAGAGGGAACACTGGTTGGGTGCCAGATGGCACAAAGATGCCAATTTTCCTGTTAGCTCAAGATGGGTAGCCGTGTTAGTCTGTCTGGAGCAGTAGAAAAGAGCAAAAGCCCAGTAGCACCTTAAAGGCGAACAAAATTTGTGGTAAAATTCAGGTGGGTAGCTGTGTTGGCCTGAAGCAGCAGAACAAAGTTTGAGTCCAGCGGCACCTTGGAGACCAACCAAGTTCTATTCGTGGCTCAAGTGGTTAAGACGCTGAACTGCAGGCTGTGGAAGATCGGTAGTTCAGCAATTCGAGACCCAAGTGTGCCGCATGACGGAGTGAGCTCCCATCTCTAGTTCCAGCTCCTGCCAACCTAGCAGTTCGAAAGCAAGAAATTGCAAGTAGATAAATAGGTACCACTTCGGTGGGAAGGTAACAGCGTTCCGTGCGTCTTGGTGTTTAGTCATGCCGGCCACATGACCACAGAAACGTCTTCGGGCAGCGCTGGCTCTTCGGCTTTGAAACGGAGATGAGCACCGCAACCCTAGAGTCGGATTCGACTGGCTTTCGAGCAAGGGAACCTTTACCTTTACTTTTTAAGTTTTATTCGGAGTGTCAGCTTTTGCGAGCAAAGCACACTTCTTCAGACAAATGGAATAAAATCTCCTCAAGGGTTACTTACAGGAAACAAAGAGAGGGGGGTGGGCAGCCGTTAGGAAGGGCCACTCAGAGCCCAGATGCATATGCAGAGCTGAAGTTGGATCAGGTGCCCAGTGAGATCAATGGATGGCAGCAAGTTAGCATGTAAATTAAAGCAAGGACAAATAGATTTAAAATAGTTTTTATTCGAGAGCTATTATTTTTATTATTATTATTATTATTATTATTATTAAATGCAAGAGTTAACAAAGGGATGTGAGAATGAAGCTAGAGTCCAGCAGCACTCCCAAGACAAACCAAGCTCAACCCTGTGTGCGTGGGAGAACAGAGCCTATGCACACTTCTTCAGCCAACATTGAAACAGATTTCCTCAAATATTACATGCGGGGGGGGGAATTGCCAGGAAGAGCAGATTAGAGTCAAGATGCATAAGTAACAGCAATAAATATAGCTAATAACACATATAGTAGGACATGTAAATAGCAGGAAGCTGGCATACAGATAATAAAGGAGTTGTGGTAGGGTATGAGCTTTCATGAGTCACTGCTCACTTCTTTGTATTTCTGTTGCTGCTAGTATGGAAGTCCATAATCTACACCGGGCGTGGCCAAACTTGCTTAAGGTAAGAGCCACATAGAAGAAACATCAGATGTCTGAGAGCCACAAGACATGAACAAATATTACACACATGTTTTTATTGGAAAATATGCAAATTTGCTTTTTATTAACATTATTAAATAAGACTGCCGGAAATAAAAACAAAAGGGGTAAAAACAGATATTGATAATGATGTTTAAAGAGACAAATGCTTTCTCCATGCTTTGAGAACGCATTTAAAGTTAAAGCTTTCCTTTTCTGCTCCCCCCCCCCCCCCCCCCAAACCCACCCCGGGGGGGCCCACCTCAAGCCTACCCAGGGAGGGGAGCACTGGCTGGGGAAGGGAAAACTGGTGGGAAGGCCTGCCTCCCCTTCACTTCCCCAGCTGTCCTGCCAGGAGCCGCACAATATGTGTGAAAGAGCCGCATGTGGTTCCCAAGCTACAGTATGCCCTGATCTACACAAATAGAGGACATAGCCAAGGGCGAGTCAGCCCAATGCAGCTTGGGAGAGAGGGAAGGGTCTTTAATCTTCCTCATCCCTACATGCACGCAGGTTACCAATTTGGCTTCCACACATCTGAAAATGACGTTCGAAAAAGTACAGGAGGGGTACTCCGAATACCCTGCACACAGCTGGTTTGGTTCTCAGGTAGCAATCCTAAGTAGGTCTACTTGGAAGTAAATCCCATTTGGGGCTCACTCCCAAGAGTGTTCTGAGGCTTGCAGCCTGTGGCTACAACAACATATAATGCTGTCTTCCAATTTCAAGCCTGGAAGACGGTCTTCTGTCTTGACTCAGCCAGCCTAGGCACCTGGATCCATGCATAGTAACCTCAATATGAGAGTGTTGTAAGGCACTCTACGTGGGTTCGCCCTTGAAGGCAACCCAGAGACTCCGCTTGGCATAGAATGCCACAGCTTGGTTATCAGGAGCTAGACAGGACATTTATATTGCACTCATTCTGCAAGCACTCCATTAGCAGCCCGTTGGCTTCTGGGTTTACTTCAGGATCCTGACTATGAGGTACGAAGTGCTGCATGGCCTTGGGCCCCTCCTGTTTGCAGGACTGCCTCTCCTCCTACGTTCCACCATGACAGCTTCACTCATCTGTTCAGGGCCTTCTGCCGGTGCCACCCTGCAAACAGGCAACATCAACAACTGCCTGGATGCATGCTTTCTGTTGTGGCTCCTGCGTGTTACAATGACCTGGCTGAGGAAGTCAGGAAGATGCCTACACTCTTGTCATTCTGCAAATGAGGTAAAATGGAGTTGTTCAGAAGAGTTTTTCTATAAAGGCAAAAGTTCATGAAGATGCTTTATAAAGGGAAAAGAACTGTGTATTATACCAGTGTGTACGGAATATATTATCTGTTTGTTGCACATACTACCCTGTGGTTTTATTGCATTCATTTATCTGTTTATATCCCATTTTTCTCCCCTGTTGGAACTGAAAACAACTTTTTTGGAGGGTATTTTTTTGTATTTTTTTTGTGTGTATGTGTGCGCGCGCATGTGAGTATGTGTGACCTAGAAGTCATGGTGGCCTCTGGTGACTGACCCCTACAGGGGGCCTGGAGGATATTCAGAGAATTGTGAATAAAGCCTGCCCCCGCCTCTGGTATTTCAAGAAGGTCTCTCATCCAAGTATTTCCTAGAGTCAACCCTGCTCAGCTTCTGAGATCTGACGAGATGGGGCTTGCCAGGCCAAGGCTCAAAACAGCTTTTAGAATACCATTCTCCCTTCCTCCATTTACAGCAGCCCCGTGAGGTAGACTAGGTTAAGAGTTTGTGATGGGCCCATGGTCACCCATCAAGTTTCCATGTTAGAAATAAGATTTCTGTAATGTACTCCGCCATTGCCACGTGCGCGACCGTTGGGCCATGCGGTCAAGCAAAGCCCTGAAGCTTCGCTCAGGGAGAACAATAGCAAAGCGGATCCTAGCCCGCACCTATCAGAGGGCCAGGTCCGCAGCCGAGAGCCTATGGAACTCTCGGCTACTGTAAATAGCCTATAGGAAGTAGAGGGTGTGTTTTGGTGGTGGGTTTTATGGGCATATATACCGGCCTGCGAGCCGGCAGTCTTTGTCTTGTTCCTTCCTGCTGAATAAAAGTACTTTGCTGAAATCACTCCACGTTTCTTAGTACTTTTCAATTTCAAACTTGGATTGCCCATGGGCCTAGTCTGCCACTCTATCCACTACACCACACTGGCTCTCATTGTTTTCTATTGATGCAGTGGCTCAAGTGGTTAAGACGCTGAACTGCAGGCTGTGGAAGCTCGGTAGTTCAGCAGTTCGAGACCCGGGTGCCGCATGATGGAGTGAGCTCCCGTCTCTAGTTCCAGCTCCTACAAACCTAGCAGTTTGAAACCAAGAAATTGCAAGTAGATAAATAGGTACCACTTCAGTGGGAAGGTAACAGTGTTCCGTGCGCTTTGGTGTTTAGTCATGCCGGCCACATGACCACGGAAACGTCTTCGGACAGCGCTGGCTCTTCGGCTTTGAAACAGAGATGAGCACTGCAACCCTAGAGTCGGATTCGACTAGCTTTCGAGCAAGGGAACCTTTACCTAATACCATTTTCCTTCATTAGCTGCGCATTCTGTATTATGTCCTAATACACTGCTCATTCAACATCTTCTAGGGTTGCCAAGTCCCCGCTGTATGTACAGCGGGGGACTCCAGCGCTGCTCCGGGAGTGTGCGCGCATGTGCAAAGCTGCATGCGTCGCAACCACGTCACCCGGAAGTGACGCAACCACGTCGGGCACACCAGAGGCGGGACCACAATCATCCGAGGGAAAACCATAGAGTTTTCCCTCGGATGACCGCGGCCCCGCCCCAACACGCCCGACGTGACTGCGTCACTTCTGGGTGACGTGCTGACGCTGGGCACGTCACGTGCTTTGGGGGTGGGGTTCTCCCCGGGGCCCGATCCGCTGGCGGCGGGTAACGGGCCTCTGGGGCGGGGGGGACTTGGCAAGCCTAATGTCTTCTCATATAGATTGTACAGACCTATCCTGTGCTTATTAGATGTCTCTTTGTATGGACTGTTATGACTTATGCTGGGTAAAGTGCTTTCAGTCTCAGTGAGAAAGGCAGGCTATAGCCTTGACCTGGATAGCCGAGGCTAGGCCGATCTTGTCAGATCTCAGAAGCTAAGCAGGGTCGGCCCTGGCTAGTATTTGGATGGGCAACCTCCAAGGAATACCAGGGTCATGATGCAGAGGCAGGCAATGGCAA